AAAAAAAAAAAAAAAAAAAAAAGCAAAAAGCCAACTCAGGAGCATGGTGCACAGGGATATTTTGGCATCCTCTGGCTCCTTAAAGCTGCTTTGTTGGTTTTTTTTCCCATTGCACAAATCAGCCCCATATGGTGCAACAGCTAGGCTGGCACACCTTACCAGCAGCAGGAGCAAGAAGATGGTAGCAGAGCCCAAGGCAGCAGAGGTCTCGGAGTGCAGGGTGGCAAGAGCAACTGGGTCTGTAGTTGCAGTTTCCCAGGGCATGGCAAGAAGCCCCAGAGCCATGTGGGTCTGGGGCTGTTCAGCACTCTATAAGGCAGGGTGCAGGATGGCCAAAAGGGCAGAGATTGGAGGAGATAGGTGGGGGGAGTCCCTTACCTTACTGAGGCTCAGGGTTGGGAGGGATCAAGCCCAGAATGGCTTGGATTGGGGTGGATCTTTGGCTAATGACTGGTAAAGTTTGCTTAATGATGGCCACAGGGATTGCTGTGATAGTGGCCACTAAGCAATGTGGTCCTGTGGTATCTTGCTTTACGACTGCATTGCTTAGCAACTAAAATTCCAGGCTCAATTGTCATAAGTCAAGGACTACCTGTTAATGTAGGCTGTGACATTATTTCTTTCAGACTTTCTCTTTCTTGCCAAATATTACTGTTCTTTAGCTATTATTAAAATCTAATCTCCTCTTCCTCTCTCTGCTTACTTTTTATTCTCGCGCTGAATAAAATAGGTTAGACGGAGAATGATTAGTTCAAGATAGTCAAGGAAGTTTTATGAATGGGATTTAATGGGAGAGTGGCATAACTTCAGATACAAATATATACTGCACCTCTCTAGTTCTGGCTTAGAATCTCATGATTTTTAAATCTAAAAACATTCACTGTGTTTATCAGTTGGTGGTAGAATTCTTATTTTTTGTATTCACTTTTAAACATGCTTTTCTAAAATACATTACAGAGACAGAATCATTAAATGGATTTCCAAATGCCTCTCTCCGGGAAGAAAGCAAAGTATCCCCAGGAACAGACTATGGTTTGGAACAAGCAAAGCACTTACTATCTAGTAACACAGTGTCCAGCAGAGAACAAGAAGTGAACCCAGATTCTGACAATAGTTTAGAGGAATTATCTGGTCACTCATTAATGAGGTAAAATACTATCACCACACTCTTGACTTTAAATTGTATAACATAGTTTATAATTCAGGCAAAGTACTGTAGTAGTACAACAGCATATTACTCTTATATTGATATATTTAGGGAGTAGGAGCCAGTGTTCTTGGAACATTAGACATAATCTACATTTCCTTTCCTTATGTAAGTTTTCAAAATAGTCACGTAAGTTTAATACAGCTTCCACTGATATTCGTGAAAGCAGTGAGTGGCTTAAGGGGCCATGCTCTGAGTGTAGAATTTTGCATTTGGTCGATTGATCCGGATTTACCCCTTTGTAATCAAAAACATTTTTGCAGTTTACAACATCCATCAATACAAACGATAAAACATCCACTATAAAATCATAAAATAATAAAATAGATCTAACATACCCAATGCTTAAAAGATAATGTTAGATCATATATCAAAGACTTTTATGAAAATAATTCAGTTTTAATAGCTTACAGAAACGCACAAGATATGGCAAACTGAATTTCAAAGAGAATAAAGCTATCTCAAATATCCCAAAATTCTGAATTTTGAGTTAGTTTGATTTCTTTAGAATCATTACTGAAAATAAACCCTCATCCTAGCTTCTGTTGAGTGATATGACAGGCAAAACAATTGTCAATATCAAATGATAACTATCCCCTCCCTCTTTTATTTATATGCATAACATGCTAAGAGCAAAACTCATTTGCTAAAATTGGTCTAGTTGGGTCAGAAGCAAATTTAGGTTTAACAATCTATACTCAACAGTGAGCCATAATAAGTCCCTATTCTAATAAATGCATATTAATTGTACAGATGTTTATATTTGTAGTTTATTTTAGGTTTATTCTTTAAAGCCATATAATGTGAAAAGAGGTGTCTTTGCCCTTTCATTTGTTGAAATTCAACTAATGTATTTTCAAAGTTTTTATTCTTTTTAATATAAAACATATTGGTTGTAGAGCTGGAAACAATGGCCAAACGTAACACACCAAGGTAAAATATTTCAGGTTTTTATTGGTTCAAAAAGCCATACTTCACCGTTTTGCCCAAGATAGAAACATTTAGTTAACTGATTAAAATCAGTTTCAGAAATCAAGATGTCATAATTTTAAAATATTTTGGCTCATTTAAAATGAAAGAAACTATGGTTAATTTACTGATTTGCTTATGCTATAAAAAAGAAATCTAGCTTAGGTTATTATTATGGTCAGAATAGCATATAGAACAGAGGTCCCCAACCTTTTGGGCACCAGGGACTGGTTCTGTGGAGAGAGGTTTTTCCGTGGACTGGAGGGGGCGTGGTTTTGTGTGCTGCCTGTATCCTGTGGATGGGGCTTTCCTTGTTTGTGCGGACCAGTTGCTGGCATGCCGCGGCCTGGTACTGGTCTACGGACAGGAGGTTGGGGACCCTTGATGTAGAACATTGAGGAAAAATAGATAAATACACAGCATGAACAAGGAATTTAGACATTCTCTTGCCTTGCGTTTATTTGAAATACATTTTCTCATTCTGTCTAGTGTATGAAAATATACCCAACTGATGAAAAAGCACAAATTTAGTTTGTAATTTTTATATCAGTAGTTCTTCTCTAAATGGTAAATACTTTTAAATTATAATTTTAAACTGCTGCTTTATGTTTTTGAGTGCAAATACTTTTTCTAAATACTTTTTGTTTGTTTAGTCTCCCAGATAAAGTTAGATCACCAAGAACGATAAGCTCTGCTCAGTCTCCAAATATACAGAAAAAAATGGATCCTGTAGGAAATACAGCAGAAAAACATAGATCTTTAAATTGTCCCAGAAACATAGCTTCGGGATCTATGCTAAATCCTGCCTTCTCTGACTTAAATATTGGAAACAACAGGACTGGAACCAATATTCCGAACGGTGAGCTGGCAAAGAATGGAAAAATGTGTAGAATATGCTATATTTGATATAGTTTATATAGGGTGATTTGAGCATATACATATAGTTGTGTACTGATTTGTGTACTGATTTTACAGGTTCCATGCGCTTCTCACCTGCTGGTCTCCAGCATCGTATGTCTGCAGAACTTAACTACCTAAGCACTATTGAAGAGTCGGTACATCAAATCTCTGATATAGAACGTGTGCGAGGAATATCACTTGCACAGCAGGAAAGTGTTTCTCTGGCTCTAATATTAAAGGTAAGATTAATGAATTTGAAATTCCTTAAAATACTCAGCATGTATTTTCAGTTTTTTATCTCTTGGAAATTTCAGTTCTCAAACCTTTCACTCCATGTACAAAACATTTCTATTAATAATTGTAAAAGTAACCAAAAGTTGTTCTTTTTGCTTTTGTTGGTTTTGGCACCCACTGCAAAGTATCTAAGCAGAGGATTAGAAGACTTATAGTAAGGCTGGGAGAATTTTATTTCGGGAGTATCCAAGGTTGACATTGGAACTCTCTAAAGCAACAAAAAGTTTGGGATCTTTATTCCAGTAATTGTGTATTTTTGAAATTTCCTAAAAAAAGATATAGCTATAATTTTCAGAAATGCCTGGCATTCTACTTAAAACAATATGCTAATTATATTTTGTGTTTTATCCTTAAATACCAGGGGTCGTATACTGTGGTTTTTGTATTTTAATACTTGTACAACCATTCAGAGTTACTATTTTGAGATGGGCAGCTATATAAATCCAATTAATTACATAGGTTATTCCAGTGGTGGTGAACCTATGGCACGGGTGCCAGAGGCGGCATTCAGAGCCCTCTCTGTGGGCACACATGCCATCGCCCCAGTCCTAGGCCTTCAGCTGGGTTATATAAAACCTTTTCACTTTAGACCTCCGCCGCCGTGTGCCCCCCCCCAAAAAAGGTTCAATCAATCAATTTCAGCTTCTCTCAGGGAAAAAAAAAAGATCTTGCAATGTTGGAATTGATTGATTGAATTTTTTAGTCCCACCCAGTCTGCCGTTACCACCGCAGCCACGCCCACCCAATGGGCCACACCCACCTGGCACCCGACGATGCATAAGTGGGTTTTGGGTTGCAGTTTGGGCACTCAGTCTCTAAAAGGTTCGCCATCACTGGGTTATTCACTATGAAATTGGTACTAAAATGTATTAAAGTAGGAGCAGATGCTGAAGTATTAAAGCAAATTATTTTATAATTATTTCATTATATTTTATAATTATAATTAAATATCTGAAATATTAAAGCTACTTAATTAAAATCATTTAATTTTGGTAATGAGCCATTACTGTTTTTAAATGATGAAAAATTGTATGACCTTTTGCATAATTCTATAAAAAGGAAAAATGTAATAAACTGAATAAACAATAACTAAATTTTCACCTTTAGTCCCAGCAGCAGAGGCATGAGAGGGACTTGACCCTTCTAAAGCTCAAGGCAGAGCAAGAGTTGTTGGAAAATCAAAGGAATCTGGAAGAGGCAAAACAAAAAGCAGCTCAGGTAATGTAGCATTTTAAATAGCATGAAAAAAAACAACCCAGAGTAGAATCCTTTTCCGTAAGGAAATGGCTGACAATGGCAGTGGATGGTAATTTAAAATGATAGGCAGTATATTGGATATCTTGGAACATTGTGTTAGTGATGCATAGCATTAGTGATTAGCAAAAGCATTTCTTCACAAAGTGGTATATTTTGCCAGTATTTCTTTAAATTATTAGAACTTCCCCTGTTCAAGAATCAGGGTTTCAGCTTGATGATGTTTATTTCTTTTTGAACTACTTATCAGCTTAGAACCAACATACTTAAAGAACAGCTTCCTTCCATGTGAGAATTCATATTTTTCATTTATAAAACCGGGATTTAAAATTACATTTCTTATCAATAACATTGGAATAAGTTTTGTTATTAAGGTAAGAATCCCTCCCCTAAAGCAAAGAGGATGAATTTCATGTTCAGATTAAGGTCAAAGCACAGCTACACTTTTAGTGAAAGTAAATTGATTTCAAAAGCAAACTTGTGTCCCCATGTATAGGCCCATGCTGAATCATTACATCACTTGGCACATTCACATCAGGAGGCAGCTGAGACTCTACAGGAGACTACATCTAAGATTGCAACTCATCAGCTGGAGACAGCCATGTTGACTGCAGATGCTGCTCGTCAGATACGTGAAGTGAGTTATTGTCTGCGGATCTTTATACCTTAACCCACGGGTGTCAAACTCACCTCATCACGTGACGTGTTGCGGCGTATTGCAACTTTTTTTTGCATTGCCAGAGCTGGGGTAGGGTCGGCCTCCGCATGATGCTACTGGCCCGCGGGCCAGCAGTTTGACACCCCTACCTTAACCCATAAGAAGATAATTTATGCATTTGAAACCTGTATTTTGCTATGCTTTTTATTAGATGACAGAACTTGCACGTTTCCAGATCTCTGATGCAGTTGGTAATACTGCAGCTCCAGTTGCTACATTATTTGACCAAGAACAGAAGCACAATTCAGCATTCATAAAGCAATTAAAGCTTCGCAATATGAACAGGTATTTTATAAAGAAATTTAATTTGGGGCTAATATTTTAATGAAGGTACTTCAATAAGGAAAATTCATCAAAGCATCTGTAAATAGTAGATTTCCTTGCAAATTCCATTGACTGACTTATTATAGGCCTGGAGGAAGAGCTCAGTCATAGAAAATTGCCACTTCACTATGTAATTTTATTTTCATAAATTTGCCTCGAGTGTGTAGGGAAGGGATAACTACGGATGAAGCTTTGTCAATATGTACATGGTACTAAAGCAGTTTGATTTATAGGGACATACTTGCCTCTACCCCCAGCCCCCCTTTTTTTTCAAATTGCTGGTTTTGAAAGAAAAAGTCTTTTAGTTTTTCCAACCAATTTGGATCCAGTTTCATAGGCTCTCTGGCATGAAACTTCCTTCTCCCACCAAGTATCCCATCTGTTGTGAGAAAGAAGCAGTACAGAACAATGTGCTTAGAGTTTTGCTAGTTCAAATATCCTCTCTTGTTCGCCTATACTTGTTAGAGGAACAATAAAAGCTGATTCTTGTACAAATTGGACAGTAACTTTTATTTAACTTTAAAACATTGCATTTGTATTCAATTATTTGTCAGTCAGTTGCAAACACTGCTGTGATTTTTAACATAATTCAATTCTTTAATAGAAAAGCAGATTCAGTCACTACCCCACCAGGTAAAGAGGAGACAAATGACTCAAAACATCATGATTTGCATGCATTTGATAGCTATTCAGAATCATCAAGATCAAAGGCACATTATCAGAGGTGAGACACAAAATTTCTGAATTTTCAGGCATGAAGTATCAGGAGCAAATGGAAATTATGCAAAAGCAAAACTATGTGCTTGAGGAACTTTGTTTCTCAATGGACTTTACAGTTCTTCTTAAAATAGTTTGAGCCACCAGTGTGAACATATTCTATCAGCTGTATATGATAGCCTTTATAGCTAGCTCTCCAGGACTGAAAACATTTGCCATCACTAGGTTATTGAAGACCTTGATTCCGCTTCTTGTAAAAATTTTGGGACCCTGAATTTTAAAAGATTTAATTTTAATGTTATACTCTGTGATGTGAAAGTGAATTCCTAGGAGGGAAAAAGTGTAAAGAGTACACAATGCAAGCACATATTTTAGAGTCCATTATTTTATCATATTTGTATAGCTGCCAATCTCACAAGAAAATTATGTGAGGCAGTATATAACACTGAATTAGAAATCAATAAGTACATACAGTATAAAACAATCACAATTTAAAAATACTATACTAAAAATACAAAACAGGCGAGGATGATATTAACCACAGTAAGGGAGCCATCACAAAATCTCCACCGTCCCCTGGAACCTGCAGGCCTGATAACATAGTGAAGGACTTGCAAAATGTTGAAAAGGATGTAGCTGATGTCATTTCCAGAGGGAATAGATTCCATAATGGGCGAGAAGATCTTTTTTCTTGGGACCTGCCAAATATAATTCCGTAGCAGTTGGGATCATAGCATGCCTTCTCTGCAGATCCTATGGGATGGGCAGATAATAATTGTGGAGAGATGTCCCCTCACATAACCTGGTCCCATGCCATGAAGAATTTTAAAGGTAAAAAACAGTACCTTGAATTGGAGCCAGAAGCAAACTGGCAACCAGTACAGCTTGTGGAGCACAGGTGTAATGCATTCCACTCTAGGGGCACACACACAATTGCCCATGCTGCTGCATTCTCCACCAGTTGAAGTTTCTAGATATTTTTCAAGGACAGACCCATATAGAATAAATTGCAGAAGCCCAAAGCAGAGGTGACTAGCGCATGAGGGACTGTGAGTAGAGCCCATAGATCCAGGAACGGGTACAACTGGCACACAACACGAAGCCACACAAATTCATTTTGTGCATTACATCCGTATTAATTCAGGACTCCTGTATGTCTTTTTATAATGCAGTAGTAGCAGCAGTCGGCAGGAAAGTCCATCTTCAAAGGAAGCCAAGAAACTTTCTCATCATGAAAAACCAAGCAGCTCCATTGAGGAGGAAGCTCCTACAGCAATGAATGATTCATTGCAGAATAACAGTATCCCATCCGTTCCTGATGAGAGAGGTTAGTTTTCAGATCAGTATTTAATTAAAACAATGCTCATTCAGTTTTTGTTTCATAATTATCTGTGTTCTTTCCGTTGCTGTGCCAATGGTTTTGCTGATGGGTTACATGGTAATAATATAAAAATAATTCCCTACCAATACTCACAGTTCTGCTTTCTTTATGTTTGTTTTTGAGTAACCATCTGTTGGGCTCTGGGGAACTTGCAGTCTGACAGTATCCACTGCCAGATTGTCCCTGCCTTGCTGTTGCTTTCGTCCTCTTTATTCTTGGAACTACTGGCTGGATAACTGTTCCTCTTCTTGGTGTGCTAGTTATCATTTTTAAGGAAAAAAATGGTAAACTTAATCTCTACAAGCATGAATATTATGAAACAAATGTTCAGAATTATTTCGGTTGATTTCTCTGGTATTTCCAAGAAATGGAATTCTTGGAAATGAGGTGGGGTAGGGAAGGATGTACATTACAATCACTGTAGCCTTAGTTTTCAGTAGATTCCAGGAAGAGCTATTATTAGAGAATAGTAAAGTTTATTTCTTTATCCCAAGGTATACAAGCTGACAGAAGCCCAGGTTAGTTCGCAGCCTGATTCTTTTTTCTGCCATCCCTTCAAAGAAGAAAAAAGTATTTTGGAAATAGCTTTCCTAACATTGAATGTTCTGACTCCTTTGGGCAGGACATTTATATAATTTATGTACTAGAATTGAAGGAATCCTTTAGGAGAAAATGTTTCAAAACATAAATGTGTGTACACAATGTCTTTTTAAAAAGCTACAACTTTTTCTGGTCTGTTCAGCTGCTATGAAAGTTGTTCTAATATCTGCAAAGGCTTCTGTAGACACAAGCAATGTACGTGCAGAGTAGCTGCTAGAGAGCCAGGAAACATTTGCAGTAGCTTTGATGGTTCGAAAAGAGCTACTATGGGTAGTCCTTGCGTTACAACCACTTGTTCAGTGAGCATTCAAAGCTATGAGGGTGCTGAACAAGAGGGACTTAGAATTGGTTATTGGAGTTCCAGCCATGTCCCCACAATTGTGTTATCGCACTCTGGGTACCCGGGCTGGCGATTTGCGATTACAATGTTGCTGAAAGTTGTGGTCACGTGATCAACAAGCAAAGTCAGTGGGGAGGCCAGCAGAAAGGTTGCAAGTTGCTCCCAAAAGTTTTTGTCCCCACTTGATTTCCTGAGGTGCCCCACTGCAAAGTATGAGATCCCAAGGACCACCTCTCACTGACCTACCTGCCCATACTCAATAGCGCCCATTTATAGCCCCTGTGGCACCCACTGGCCAGTAGCACCCACCCACAGCACCCATTCACCTTCCAGCAGCTCTCACCCATCAGCTTGCTTGCCTAGGGCTCAGGACATATGAGGTCCTCTCTCAACAACTCAGGTGGTCTCTGGGTTACAACAACCTGGTCTGCTGGGATTGTTGTTGCTAAGCAATGAGGTTAAGTGATGTCACGCTTTACGACCCTTATCGCTTAGGGATGGAAAGTCTGATTCCAGTTAAGGTTGCAATCCAAAGACTACTTGTACATATATGCTCTTGCATCTTCCCGAAACATGTCTCTCAAAGGGTTTACACAGCTCTATTATGTAATAGTTATCCAAGGAGTCCATGTATATGTTTATTGTTTTCATAATAAGGTCAGGAATGTTGATAGTTAGGCCTATTTATATTTCTGTCCATTCAGTCAATATTTACTCATTCTATTTTTGCAACATAATCTTATTTTATAGTGTTTTCTGGTCTGTAATGAATTCCATATTTTTTCTCCTTCTTGTATTTGTATCTTTTCAGATTCTACCTCTATTGCCACAGAATATTCCCTAAAATTTGATGAGTCTATGACAGAAGATGAGATTGAAGAGCAATCATTTCGGTCTTTGTTGCCTTCTGAGAGCCACCGCCGGATCAATCTGAAGAAACGAAGTCACCAAGTTTATTCTGATGAGGAAGCTTCTCCTGAAAAGCCTACCCTGTCACCTATTAAGGCAAGATTTCAATAGGCTGTTGCTGTTCATTTTGTGGAGTCTCAGAATTTTTATTGGCCTGTTTTCCAATTTCCAATTGATTATGTGGGGAATTTTGTTAATGCATATGTTTTAGTTGTTTTAGCTGTTTTAAATTTGTTATAGATTATGCAGTATATGTGTAACTAACTGCTCTTAGAAGAACATTCATCATAATCAGCAGAAATAAAGATGTTGCTCACTGAAGGTGACCTTATCTGACAGTCTTTGCACTAATTTGACTGTTGGGTGGTGAATATCTGCAGAGGTTCATCATTATGTTGACTGCTAAAAATTCAACATTTTGCACAAGTTGTGGTTTTCTTCCCATAAGTCTTATCATGGAGAATAAAAAGAATAATCTCATTCGATGTAGTGTGAATAATTCAATAAATAATAGGCATAATTCATGAAAATAGTTTTAAAAATATGAATATCGGTGGGTGAGGTGAATTTATAGAGATCTCTGGAAGTGGTAATATCTGTATTAAAACCTGTTTTAGACGCATCATTTTGCCAGATATCATTTGCTGAATTAATAATTTTAGTAACATATTTTTTAAGGACAGAAGTACAAGAGGCCAGCTTCTGTGTGTGGCCTTCCTAGAAAGCATGTTTCAGATATTATTGTAAATATGCAACACATATTTACAATAATATTGTATTCTCCTCAGGGATTCTTCTCAGGTGCACTGGGAAGGATAATAGATGCTGGAATACCTTTGTACCTAGAAAAACATATATTTCCCTGTCCTCTTCTACCTTAGCTGTAACTCTGTTAATGCTCTTGTTGTCTGTTATTCTGTTGCTGCGTGTCTCAAGTTACTGATTTTCATATTCTCACATATAAATTTGTTAAATGAATAAATGAACATACTTTATACATAAAATGTCCACTGTAGAAAACAGTATTTCTATATAACAACAATGGAAATCTAATAATGATTAATGTAAAAGTACATCAATAGTTTGCAAACATTTTGCCCAGTAAAGAGAGTGTGAATTCTGGGGAAACTGTTTTTATTTTATTTTATTTTTTCATCAGGAGCTAAATCTGCCATTTTCAGGAGGACAAGACAGTTTTTCTAAATTTACAATGGAAATGGTACGGCAGTACATGAGAGAAGAAGAAATGCGAGCAGCTCACCAGTCCTCACTGCTCCGATTACGTGAAAAGGCACTTAAAGAGAAGACTAAGGCTGAACTAGCTTGGCTAGAACACCAGAAAAGGTAAAGCTGGAAACCACACAATGTATAACATAGCCAAGAGTTTTACCCATCCTAAGGATTTCAGACTTTTTTGATTTATGTTACGTTCTTATTGCGAATGTTTCATGAATATCATGAAAGAGATAGCAAGAAAAGGAGAGTTCTTTGCCATTTTAATATGATCGTAAAGTCTTTAATATAATTTTGTTTTGTTTGTATTCTCACCCAGCCACTCCATTTTTGTACTTATGACTTTACACATTACATCATAATGAGGTTATTTTCTCAAATGAAGCCTTTTTTTAAAAAAAGATTCAAATGCAGTTTTGCTTCTTTGATTTGTTATACTTTTCCTACAATTATATATAATATCATATATTTAATTATCTCACCCACTTCACATCTAAGGTTTTTAAATGACTAGCTTCCAAATTTCTTTATGCACTTGCTGACATTGAAATAAAACTCCTGTTTCATCAAGTGTAAAAAAAGAATAAAAAGCAATCCCTCCCCCCAAAGAAAAGAAAATGCCAAAGTGGAAGAAATTTAATTTTTCTGCTACTTATTTTTAGACATTTACGAGATAAAGGGGAAGATGATAAAATGCCACCTATCCGGAAAAAACAACGTGGCCTACTTCTTAAACTTCAGCAGGAGAAGGTAAACACTACTTTTACGTTTGATTGCTTTGAGCTGCCTCATATGTAGGGGTATCTGGCTGATCTTGGCTATTCTCAGAAGGTAAACAAGACTGGCCATTGTTAGAATTTGGACAGAGGATCTCCCAAGAATTCCAGGGATGTAGACTGGATTGGGTAGGAAACAAACAAACCCCCTCAAAGCACTTATTTTATCCTGTCAAGAAACTAGAATGTATGCTCTCACCAAAAGCTGGAGTAGTTTGAGCTAGTTCTGACTCAGTTAATTCTCAAACAGGTTGTTAATTGGCTATAGAAATATTCTGAAAATCATATTAAATATACAAATATTTAAAGTCATAATTAGCGCAACTATCAGTACAAATGACAGATTAATTAAGATTTACTGTAGATTTATTGGGGGAGGGGTTAATTAATGTTGATCCAAAATACTACCTTATCTTGCGTTTTATTTAGTGTATCCACATATATAACAATTATTGTCAAGAGGCTGGTTCTGGGATACTGGAGAAACTAGATCGTGTAATAGTTTGTACTAATGTCATATGTATTTATTTAAAGAAATATAAATTTTAATAGATTGTAGTATAATATTAATAATTCGAATTGACATTTATGTGAATACATAACATATTTTCTCAATTAAATTTACTGTGTAGGATGGTATACAGTACTAGCCATGTCTAAATAGGGCATTTATTGTAAAATAAATGGTGAGAAAATGTCAATTTTGACCTGTAAAGTGACAGTTTTGATATAGTACTTCAGCACATATTATTCTAAAAGTGAAGACTATGCACTGTGGCAACCCAAAATTAACAACTGTAAATTATTATATGCACAACCATGTGAAATCACAGCTGTCCATTGTTTAGCTGGTATTGACCTTCGTGTGCACTGAATTCTTCCCAAGAACCTAGGATATCATAATGTATCAGCGTAGAGTATGTGCAGATTCAACTAGTGTGGCCTTTTGTAACTGCAGATGGAAATGTTGTCAATGTATAGATTTTCTAAGTGACACTTAGCAACCATTGGGACCATCAGGTGGTTTTTGCCATAATCTTTCAACTTCAAGGTTCAGATTTGGATGCTTTGTGATCTTCTCCAGTTCTTTGTCTTCTGTTCTCTATCCCCTGGTATTGCCACATCAATTACCCATATTTTATTCTTTTCAACCACAGTTAAATTTGGTGTGTTATGCATCAAGACTTTATCAGTTTGTATTTGGAAATCCCACAATATTTTAACCTCCTCGTTTTCAACTGCTATTTCAACTATATATTCCAACCAGTTTTTCATTTTTACAGATGATCCAGTGAATCATTTTAGCGACTGTGTTATGTCTTTGTTTGTAATCAGTTTACGTGATCTTGCATATAAACTGAATATATGATCTACTCTTTTTTAACAGAATAACAGAGTTGGAAGAGACCTTGGAGGTCTTTTAGTCCAACCCCCTGCTCAGGCAGGAAACTCTATATCATTTCAGACAAATATTTTCTGCCTCTTTGAACGATTTGCACTTTGAATCATTTGATGGTTTTTCATTTGTGCCTTTGATTGCATTAGCTTATTCTTGAGCATCCAAAATCAAGAGTTCAATTTCATTTTTTAATGTTTCAGTTATAAGCCATTGCCAGGTTTTATCTTTATCCACTTTGCCCTCAAATCTTTGTAGAAATTGACCATATAATGCTTTCCCCTTCCAGCATTCGGTTTGTGTTTTTTATTACATTATTTCAACATTCACATTTTGTTTCCTGTCCATTCAGTAAGTTCTAATTTTTACTTGCATCAATCCTTGTTCTTGGCTGTGTTTTACTTAATCAGCCAATGCAAGATTTTCTTCTTTGACAGTTTATTTGACTTGAAGTGAACCTCTGCCTCCATTTCTATAAGGCAGGTATAATCTATCAATATCACTAGAGGGATGTCATGCATAGTGAATAGTCATGTATTTTTTCCTCAATCCAAACTGTTCAGATGAGCTTATATCCAATTAATAATTCCAACAGGTATCATATTGCAGGTATTGATGGCTTTGGTGGTGTTTCAACGATTCATATTTAGCAATTTTCTCACTCTTTGGATGTATTCTTTACTAATCACATTTTTAACTTATCCATACTTCACGTTATCCAACTTTAAAATGCCCAGATGCTTGTAGGCTGCTTATATTACTATTATTATGATTAGTTCCGTAGTCAGTCTGATGTTTAGATTGGCTTTGGCATTTTTACCCACTTACTGAGTCCTTTCCAATGACCTGAATTAAGCAGATTTTGTTCTTTGATGGTGTTAAAAGTATGGTCGCAGGATGTAAGCTATTCCCAGTAATATTGCCTTTTGCAATTGACTGATGGTAATTATATCAATGGTGTTCAAATGGTGCTCCAGATGTCCTGGGATTGCACCTAAGGCACTTATTGGTACTATCTTTGCTTTCTGTTGCCACAGTTCTTCTACTTCTATTTGCAGGTTTTATACTTTGTGATTTTCTCCAGTTCTTTTTCTTCTATTCTGCTGTCTCCAGGTACTCATTATCCACTATCCAGACTTTTTTTGTCTGTCTTATTGAAATTGTTAAGTCTGGGTGTTATGTGGCAGGTGCTTGTCTGTTTGAATTCTGAAATCCCAGAGTACTTTAGTTTCTTCATTTTCTATTACTTAGTCTATTTTGTGGTCCCACCAGTTCTTGCTTGTAGGCAAATTGTATTTCTTGCAGATATTTCAGTGCATCTTCCATTCTTTCTGCATCATGCTATTGTTTGTAGTCAGTCTCGGTGATCTTCTCGCAGTAGTTAATTAGCGCTGAAAAGCAGAAAGCCGAGCACAGGGGAGGCCTTGGGAAGCCCAGGGCAGGCAGGTTCAGCCCTGCACTAGGCCTTCAAGGGCCTCTCCCGCACATGAGGTACAGTGGAGAGTTCTTTAGGGATTGGAATAAACTTCTAATAAACTTTGGATAAAAGCAACAAGCAGAAAATTGTCAGTTGTGGCAGAGCATAGAATAAAAATGAAAAGCTAAGGTTATTTAAGAGGTAAGCTAATGAGGAAATAACAGTTCTTTTTTTTATATCCTATTTACCCATAAAGGCAGAAATTAAGCGCCTTCAGGAAGCTAGTAAGGCAGCTCGGAAAGAAAGGCAACTGATTCTTAAACAGCAGGAAGAAATTGAGCGGATACGCCAAACCACTATGAAATTGCAGGAAAAACTCAAATCTTCAGGAGAAAACAAGGTGATAAGTTACAATGCAACTAATCTGCTTATTTTATTTATCCAGTTGATATTGTCAAATGAAACAGCATTTCATTTGAAGAATAAAATTTGTGACATTCTTAAGATACAAAGAAGAAATGAACTTTAATGTTCTTAGTGTAGTAATTGTAGCTGCAATAATTTTAGATTTGGGGCTAACCTTAATGTTGGGTTATATTGTGTGTATAACTGATACAAGAAACATAACTCAGAAAGTGATATGACATTACCCTTCTCAATCCACATATGTATTTTGGTTACCAGCAAATTTTGGTTTAAAAAAAAGAAGCCATTGCGTCCTAGATCTAAGCAGTTAAAATAACTGGTTTTTTAAAAATAAAATATAAAATACAGGTGGCCACTCTTTCAGTGACTGTTCATATTTGCAATACTTCTGCAGGAGTAGTACTTATGACTGGTGTTTGACGTTTCAATTGTCACAGTGTCTCTGCCGTCACATGATTGCAATGAGCTGGCCCAGATTTCCGACCATTGCATGTACCTGTGCTCATATGATCATGACATTTCCTGCAGCTTCCCACTGGCAAAATTAGTGGGGAAACTGGCAGGAAGTCAGAGCTTGCAGTTATATGAGGTTCTCATTTAGTGATGCATATGGTCCTTAAACAATGATAAAAGAGACTTCCAGAACTGTTGTTGCTAAGCATGTGAGATTGTACTTTATTATCACATTGCCTGGCAATAGAAAACTTCAGTCCCAATTACTGTGGTTAAGTGAAGACTATCTATATAGAAGGTTTGAAAACTCAGACTTTGTTCCACGGAGTCTGGATTGAAAACATTTAATCTAGGGAACAAGAATAAAAAATCTCTGGTTTAATAATATTTATAAAAAAAAATACTGCAACATTTCCAGCTTTAATTACAAATTAGAAACCTATAAATAGGCAATTTTAGAGAGGCAAAACTCTTGCCCATTTCCTTCTAGCCTATTCTTTCTGTCCAGAAGGCTTGTAAATTCACAGAGAATTCTCTGTTCCCTGTCTTGATAACTCTCAACCTTTTTATTAGCATTAGGAATAACTCTTCTGCAGAAATCTGAAGAAAATTTTCATTGACTCATTTGAGCAAATCTAAAACCTAGTATTGTATTCATCTGACCTCTTAAGTGATTTCGTTTGTTTATTCGTTTTAGGAACACCGCAGTGAAGATGATAAAAAACAAACACATTCCTCAAGCCCTCAGCCAACTGATGCAGAGGCCTATAGCCCTTCCTCCATTTCCAGCTCTGACACAAGTAGTATCATGCAGAAATTAAAGAAAATGAGGAGACGTATGGATGAGAAGTAATTTGTATTTTGTTTTATTCCTAATAGAAATGGCTTCCAACAGTTATTGTGGAATTTCAGTTTAGTTTTGATGGTGGTTTGGTAGCTTGAATATATTAATAAATATTTATATATAGGACTGCCTTTCCATCGTGAATAGGCATGAAAAGCTAATGTTCCTGATACCTGACATAATGTTTAACTGGTAAATGAACCTGGGGCTTTCTGCATGCAAAGCATATGTTCTATCATTGCATCTATGTAGGAACCCCTTCTTGTAATTGGTACAGCAACTACAGACCAGAGTTTTATATACACAAGTATATATTACTTTAATGCAGAATGCTTGCTGTAATGTAGTGTTTGTATATAGCTTTTTACAAAGTTGGTTTTCAATCAAATATATTCTCGTGCCTGAAAATTTGACTTCATCAGGAGAAAAATGGATTCCTAGTGTAGAATATTGGAATTTGAAACCTATACGTATACTGAGCTAAATTTTCACAATTTTTTTTGGGGGGGGAAGTTGGGTTTTGTAATATTAAGCATCTCTGTAGTAAAAAAATGTGCAACTAATATTTCCTTCACAACAAAAGTAAGATGTACCATTATGTGAAATAGCTTCTAAATGTAGTAGTGAAAAATTCAGTCATAAAATGTTTTTATTTATTGCATGGCATTTCAGAATGCATATAGGACATTGGTATATATTCCTGGGTTTCAGTAGTAGAATTGGATCTTTGTCAATTTTTCACAGCCCTTCGAGAAACTGAAAATGTGAAAATTCTATGACTTTCGGAATATCTTAAGAGCCTGGGACTTCTAGTCACATTTTTTTAAGGAACTCAGTCTATAATAGAAGAAAAATAATATGGTGGTAAAAAGCAATCTCTTTCTCTAGTTTTTAAGATTATGGAGGAACAACAGTTACCCTCTGCTTTGTTAAAAGAAATGTATTACCAATATTTCAATTTAGTAAAGCTTTTGAACATGTATTTAGAGTGAGGATAGAAAGCAAGATGCAGATATAAATGCTGAATAATGCAGAATCAGGTAGGATATTATATTAGTTTGGGAAGAATATAAAAAAATTAGCATAGTTTTTTAAAAATATTAAATGGTGATGAATTGGATAATGATGCCTCCAATAAGATTCTGGCTAATACAGATTCTCGGGAGTATCATAATTGATCTTTGGATAACAAAGATAAAAAAGGCTATTGAATGGTTTGCATGTGAATAGGAGCATGCTCTGTCAAAGAATTAATCTCTCTTGATATTAGTTTTAATGTTATGTTTGTACATTCTTAACTATCTTTCACTAGTAGTGGCTTCTATGTTCTAAAAGCTTTCTCACCTATTTTTCCCCTTAATTTTCCCTTAAAATGACAGCCTATAAATTCTTAAGTTTACATAAATATTTGAGCCATTTTTAAACTAAGCGATCTTATGAGCTAAAACTGCTTTTGTTTGATTTTTGGAGCTTATTCATTTAGCTTACAATAGTTGAACATTGATATAAATACAGTTGAAATACAATAAATGCAGCACAACTTGAAACCTTGGAGTAATTAATTAAAATAGTGTAATAAGCTTTTTAAAATGCAATATTAAATGAGTAATTGGAATTGCCCTTAAATGTAGTTCTTTAAACAACTGGAGAATTATCTATAGCATTATACCATAATAAGGTAAAGTTGCTAGTGTAAGAAACGGGGAGCAATTGACAATGAATAAAGAATTTTAAGTAATGCTTATCTTCTGTTGCGTTTGAAAAATTCTACTTGTTGATGGATGATAACTGTTTGACACTTGAGCATCATTTAAAACTCTGCTAGACCTTTTCCTGCTCTTGCTTTCTGTCTGTTTCTTGCTATCGGCTTAAAACTCTTCCTCCTTATTTTGTAGACACTGCTCTCCTGTTCACTACTTCTTCTCTGTCTTTACGTCTCACCACTGGGCTTCTCTCAGTGTCTGTTTTCCCAACCTCCATCCCAAATTCCAGCTGTATATCTACAACCAATTGGTCAGGTAACTTTCTACCTTTTTCAGTGGTAGATTCTTTGATTGAGCATGCCTGTTCAATTTTAAATGATTAGGAGTTCTTTTAGAACTCTTTCTCCCCCTTTATAAAGACAGGCATTCCTGCATAGATAGCTGACAATTTCTAACCAGTTAACCAGAGCAACAAAGATGATAATGGGTTTGAAGGCTAAATCATACGATGAACAGCTAAGAGAACTAGGTATGTTTAGCCTAATGAAGAGAAAGCTCCAGGGAGACATGATAGCAGTCTTCTAATACTTGAAGTGTTATCACATGTGAGAGGGCATCAATTTATTCTCCATAGTACCTGAGGGCAGGACAAGAAGCAATGGGTGGATGCTTGTCAGAGTAAGGTTCAACCTGGAAATAAGGAGGAATTTCTTGACAGTAATAGCTTGCCTCCAGGAGTTGTGGGTGCTATGTCACTGGAGGTTTTCAAGAAAAGATTAGACAACCATTTGTCCAGAATATTATAAAGACTCCCCCTGTCCTGGGCAGAAGGTTGCACTTGAAAACCTTCAAAGTTTCTTCCAATCTAACAGTTTTGGAAAGGATTTGGAATTTAATTTGTCTTTTAGTGTCATATTTGTTAGGAAAATCTGTTCTGAATGCTTTAACTGTGTGCAGCACAAAATTATTCAACTGCATCTTTTATCTCTTTTAAATTAATTTTTTTTAAATTGGCTTTGTATGAGGCCATAACAGTAGAAATTCTTATTTCCAAGAAAAAATTCAAATCCGTATAGGTGAGCTCTTCAGAATATTTTTTGTTGTTGTTTTCAGTAATTTCATCTTCCCTGAAATAACTTGGGAGTGTTTTCATGAGTTCGTATGATGTAAGAAATAGAGAAGAGAATAGAGAGAAAATTGTTAGCTAATATGGAAGAAAAGGCTAGAATTACATAGATTTTGAACTTATTTCCTTTGTTCTTGATAGCTAATTGACCATTACTTCAGCAGTTTTTGAGACTCTATAACACACATCTCTGGCATTCAGGCTTTCTATTTTTAGTGAATATGGAGAATCTGAGGCACTGGTTTCATTTTTCTTTAAAAACTAGTGGTAAACTGCACCAACTACTGGAATGTTTTAAGCATTTTTCTATAAGTACTTGCAGAAATATGTCTTGTATTTGTAATGGAAATATATATTGTAGTGGCTAACCAGTAGTAAAAGTTTTTGGGTTTTATTTGTATTTGTATTTGGAAAGGAGAGGAAGGAAATTTGGGGCACTTCATAATAAATAAATGAAGAGAGTAAATATTGGGATCACCTCTCATTTGGGAATGATTACTATAGAATAATAAAATATAATTCTATATTTAATAAGCTGCTTTAGATCTTGAATCCTAAATGTGCCAAGATGAAGTGTCCATGTGCTAATAAATATCTTGTTGCTGCCTGCCCCAACTCTAAACAGACTTACTGCAATAAAAAATATTACAAAGAAAAGCATCTGACATTATGTACATTGTTGGAGAGGTTGTTTTATTTTTTGCAAGAATATTTCTGGTCCCATAGTAGACCCCATAAATTTGGTCAGTAACTTCAGCCTAATAGTTTATTTGTAGACAAATTCTTATATAGAAAAAAGAGTTCTAAATAGCCAAGAAAAGCATGCTTATATTCACCTTGTTACACATAACTAGACGAAGTCTTAAATCAATATCATCAGACAAAATTGGCAAAGAATTGTATCTCTTTGAAAAAAGAATGAAAAATGGTGATAATTATGTGAAAGTTCCTTTCTATCAGATCCCATGAAATTTCTTGCCCAGCAGACATGGAAAGCTAGTAGAAAGTTGTCACATATAAAACATACTTGTCTCTGTCTTGTTTATGTTATCTGTGTACTTGAAGCTTTAGAGTTTGAAATATTGGCTTCCAGTTATCTGACCACACTGAAGCATCCAAATCTAGCCAGCAAAATAGCAGAAGTGTACACTTACATTTGGTAGTATAATTTGACACTAAATTGTATCCTCAATTGTCTGTTTGTTGTCTTTCACTGGTTGTAAGTTATGTGAGTTTTTAAAAAGCATTGGAGATGAGGTTGATTTCAGATTGTGCTATGGTTCATTAAAATATTTCAGTATTTATTAGTCTCAAACCAGTCCCTTGAATTATGAAAGTCCTGATGGAGAGCTTAGACTCTGCAGAAATTTTAACTACATATAAAATGCTCTGTTATTCAGTCTCAGAAATCACTTTCAACTTAACATCATCATTGCATGAGCAAACCTTTCTGTTTTAGGCAGAAACCCTAGTGTTTAGAATCAGGATGTGAATAGTGTTTTACACATAGCTCTCAAATTACAACCAGTCGCTTAGCAAATGGACCACGCAGAAGGTATTTAGGATCTGGTTCCAAAGTCTCAACAGCCCCATACCACAGCCACATGAATACATTTCAGGCAGTCCGCAACCAGCCTGTAATTTCGGCTGTTTGTAGCATCCTATAGTCATGTGACCGTGATTTGCGATATTTTTGCTAAACTTGGCATTTACTTCCAGTTTTTGTCAAAAACACTCCATAGCAAACAATGGGTTTTCTTAATGAGCACAGCATTCACTTTACAACTGAAGAAGGATATAAAATGAATCCAGTCATATGATGATCTGTTTTACAACTTATGACCATAATGAGTAGCTTGTTAGGTATACTAAATAAGGTAGCAGATAGTGACTTTAACAGGGAGCGCCTCTGTTAGGGAGCATAAGGCCTAGTACACTCGACTATATCTTAATCTCATATAACCTTATTATACTGGTAGTTTCATTTAAAGTTGGATATAGATGGATAGTGACTATTCATCACTTTTACTTCATAAGGGTCTTAGCCCCCAACTGACTTCTTTGGACAGTCCTTTGAAGGTTAAGGATAATGATGTAGGATTAGGTGATCCAGAAAGTTTGGTAGAAAATCTCAGTATTCATTAGTTTACACATATGTATTTAAATTCACTTAATTCTCCTTTTGCAATCTCTGTTTGTTACCGTTATCAGAGACCATAGCATTCCATAATGTGACTTTCTCTGATGGCAAGTTATAAGATACTATTTCAAATTAATTAAAATACCAAAGGGAGATACTTTGGGATTTTTTTCACTTGACTCTTAAAGATTCAGACTATTTATTTATTATAAATTTGTTATATTCATTTGTAATATATTAACTTACTATTTTTTGCCAGTAGTTTTTGATTATATTTATATTGTCATTAATTTGCATTTTTAATACCTTGTTCATAATTTACTATTTTAGAATAATTAGTTTATTGCTTAAGTCATATGGAACAGTGGAAGGCATTGCTGTAGGTGGATGAAAATCAGTTCAGTACAGCTTAGGAGAAGGGAAACCACTATAATGGGTATAATGGAGATAGTATCTAGAAAGAGAGCCTGATGTGCAGTTTCTAATTTGCAGTTTTTAATAAGAAGTATGTGCTGATTTTTACAGTGGTTTAAAAAGCATTCAGTCTTGAGGATGAATAACTCTCCATTGCTAAATGATAACCCCTGAAGCTTTCTTTCTAAATTGACCTAGAACTGTTTTTCAGAATTCTGCTCTTCTTAATGCTGCTATCTAGTGGCGCTGCTTAAATGTTAGTCTAAATAGAAAAAAAACCTTTTTTTCTTGAAGGGAAAGGCAGTTTAAGAACTTTGTTTATAGTTATAGTGTGTGTGTGTTCAAAGTTGGGGTTTTTAACAAAAAAAATTCAGGCTCACATTCTTATTCACAGCACGAGTAAAATACGAGTAAATACTTTTACCGAATAGGATAACGGAAGTTCAAATATTTATATCTCAGGACAATAGTGAACAGTTTCCCCTGTTTCTTCATCAGGTTCTTGACCAAGCGAGAGCAAAAACTGATGCAGCGGCGTCAACATGCAGAGGAGCTGCTGCAGTGGAAGCAACGTTTAGATGCAGAAGAAGCAGAGATACGTCAGATAGAAAAACAAGCGCTAGCTGCTTGGGAAAAAGAGCTGCATAAAACCAAAGCAAATAAAAAAGGAGCAGGAGATCAGAAATCTGATCAAAAAGGTAGAAGCTATGACATTTACCTTGTTGGGGCTCTAATTAAAAGTTGGCAAACTTTTTCTTTAAAGGGCCAGATTCCCTTCCCCTACGTCTGCCTTCATGGGCAGATCAGCCATTGGAAAATAGCTTTCATGTATTCAGAACCCGATTATGTTCCAAAAGCTGTATTCAAACATACGTATTCCAAATTTTTGATTGGTTTTGGCTTAGTATTTGTGTCAAACAATTCTACTTAAAGGAGAGATAAATTTTCAATATTAAAAGGAAATGAATAATAGGTAAAATAATAACATAGAAATGTATTTCTCTAAACTTTTCAATATATTTTCCTACATGATCATGTGAAAAAGTAAGTACACCTGTTGTAAAGAGTTTTTCTTCTTTTGTAACAACTTCTCAACTGGTAGATGATCTTTTGGACAGTGGAATGATTGATGTCCAGTTGTTTGGAGATATTTTTAAATTCTTACCTAATCTCATGGGCTTCTGTAACCTCCTTTCTGAAGTCTTTTTGAAGGCCTCAGAGAGTTCTTTCAATCTAAACACAAGCTTCACCAAAATAACAGCAAATCAAACTAAATATCTGAGGTTTAAATAAGACAGATTCTTTCCAATTCTTATCTAACAATGTTCTAATTATTTGCACATCTCTAATTTAGGTATTTGAAATAATGATAAATGTAGGGGTATATCTATTTTTTCCAGATGTGAAATTTGCTTTTGTGTTTGTTTATACTATGGACTATAAATATAAACAGTGGATTACATTTGTTATATCCCCTTTATCAGTATTGTGGAAATTAAGATTAAATACTGTATGTTGGACTTCCGGTTTGCCATCGCAGCACACGGATGCTGGAAGACGAGCTCCGTCTTTCACGTCCGATTTCGTCCCGCTGGAGGACCCTGGAAAGGGTCAAAAGTTGCCCTGTAGAGGCGACGAGCAAGGAGGGGACCCCCACTTGATCACGGGAGGGCAGTGGGGAAAGACTGGCCATAGCAATATGGCTCATCACTAAGCTGCTGACATCCGAAGTCAAAATCACCACCAAGCACCTTTAAAGCAACGTGGATGAAATTGGGTGAGATCTGATCTTCTCTTTAAGAAAGACTTTAAGTATTTTTCCTGTAAAAGCTGCACAAAGTATTTTTCCCCCTGTGAGGAGAGAGGGAAGGGAATTTCTACTCCATCCTCTAAGAAAAGTGGCGACTAACTACCCAGGGGAAACAGAGCATCTATAAGAACAATTTTAATCTAATTGGATGTATATGCTTTTGAAACTTAGGGGCTAAAAGTGTTCCTATTCTTACTGGAGATGTTTGTTTTTATCTAAAAAAAGAAGACTTGAAAAACTATCATAAAAACTTTGGACTTAAAAAGCTTTAAATGGCAAAGTATGGTATTACAACTTGTTATTGCCTAAAAGAGACTTGGCTTGAAGCCCAGACTCCAGAAAAAACTTCTTTGACCTTGACAGCTACCACCTGTGAAAAACTCAGCTGCAAAGAAGGAAATTCTGGGCGGCATATCTGGCCTGTTTGAACTATGAATGTAAACTTTTACTGACTTTCAGAGCTATCTGTGGGGAATTGCTTTCCTATTTCCTTACATGAGAAGCATATGTTATTATACGAGATGATGGAATACCTTGGACTATAAACTCTTACTTCACAAACAATTTCTACTATAAAGACCACCTATAACACATGAAATAGATGTCCCATACCTAGCTTTAAAAAACAAAAAAAATTTTTTTAACGTTTGATTCTAAAGTCTTCAATTTAACATACTTTCAAGAGAATATGGATGAAGATCAGGAAAAAATCCTTTCCATGTTGAAATCAATACATGAAACCATTCTTTCAGCTTGTGACAAAATAAGATGCAATATAAAGGAACAAGATCCCAGCTGAAATATACAAACCCAGATGTTGACTACATCTGGAATGAGCTTCCCCCAGAGATCAGGGTGATCCCTGATCTCCCTTCCTTCCGCT